GGATCAGGTGGCTGTGCCCTAAGAAGCTGTGACTCTGTGGGAAAACCTCGCGCTGGAGCAATCTGATGGGTAAGGATTGCATCCTGCGAGAAGGACTCATGTTGGAGAAGACTGTGGACTGTTTCACATGAGGAGCAGGGAGAGAGCAGGGGAGCAGGGGAGAGTGTAAGGAGTGCTCTCCTTTTTAAGAGCAAGGAGCAGCAGAAAAAAAAGTGTGATGGACTGACCTGCAACTTCCCCCTCTCCCCCATTCCCCATCCCCCTGCACCTCTGGGAGAGTTCAGGGGAAAAAGGGAGGGGTGGGGCAAAGGTGTTTTTAAGATCTGGCTTTGTTTCTTACTATCCTCTCAAATAACTGTTAACACATTCAATCCATTTGTCCCCAAGCTGAGTCTGTTTTGCCTGGGGCCATGGCTGGTGGGGGATCCCTGCCTGTTCTTATCTCGATGCTCAGGCCTTTTGTCACATTTTTCTTCTCTCCAGAATATCAAGGGGGAGGAGTGAGCAAGCAGCTGCATGGTGGCTGAGCTGCCGGCTAGGCTAAACCACGACACTCTCCATTTCAAGGCTGGCAGCTTTCCCCTCTGACTTGGTCCAAGGCCTTGTTCCATAGACTGTTGGCACTATTTGTATCACTTAATAGCTGTAAAATGGTCTGGCAAACCCCAAAAGAACCATTTTTCACTGATTTCACGTTTTGGTTAGGCCAGAATGCTCTTCCAGAAATCTTCCAGGAAAATGCAACTGTGAAAATAACTCAAGGAAAGGAAAATGAGATGTGATACCACAAAGGAAGAAGACAATAGTATGAAGCAGTTGCAGAGTGAATTATTTAACCTACTCAAAAGCACACCCAAAATGTTTCTTTAGAGGAATACTGATACTTGAGCTGTTTCTGTTTTCAGATCCTTAATTACCACTTCAGAGGAGAGAAGGAACTGTGTAAATGTATATGTGTAAGTATGTCTGAGAATTTTTTTTGTCACGTTACGATTTGGGCTTCCCCCAAACTATTTGCATGATTCAAGGTTAATCTGTGCAGCAATTCAACTAAAAGAAAACATTTTTAAAGCAATGATAGAAATTTGGAGGAGTAAGAATCTGCAAAAACTTAAGCCACCTAACGAGAAAGCCGAAACACAAAATTTACTTTACCAGTACAAGTTTGGTTAGCAAATGAGGTCTTGCTGGCTGGTTCCCCCACCGCGTGGTGCATGAGTGACCCGTGGGCTCAGGGTTTGGTTGGTTTCAGCAACGTGATCACTGCTGGCAAAAAAAGAGAAACACAGGCGTAAAAATGACAAAGCAAAAAAGCACAAAAATGATGACTCAGAACAGCTGTGTGAGCTATTTTTATGTCATCTCAGGAGAGGATAGAGAGGAAGGTGTGTGCTTGCGGAACGGCAGCCCTGACTTTCTGAGGGGCAGGGCTAGGGAAGGAGTGTGGACCTGCAGAGATGGAGGCAAACTCAATGGAGGAGAGGGAAGACCAAGGCTTTGATTTTTCCCCGAGGCAACATATGACCTAGGCTCTGGCTTGGGCGCTTGGCTTGCTCTGGTCTCCTTACCTGGAAAAAGAGTTGTGTTACAGCAGCATCAGCAGCTCCTGGGTCTATACACACGGAGTGCAGACTCTTAACTAGATCCTCTGAGTTACATGTTGGGGACATTTGTACTGCTTATTGCAGCATGACTATTGACCTGAGCTCCTTTCCCTGAGCTCAAGTCAGGGCCAGAGTGGCCTTTCCTCCTGCCCCCCGCAGACATTGGGTGCTCAGCCATCTTAGAAATCTGGACTTGCATTTAGGCACTTGTGAAAAGATAACGTTATGGAAAAGGCACTTGTGAAAAACTCAACCTCGTAACCCCGTTAGCCCTGTTTGCCTAGCAGCCCGGGTGGGAAATCTTTGGTTTCTGGCTCTGACATTTGTTGCCATGTCCCCTGAAATTTTTGTTATTCAGTTGATTTCCGGAGCGGTAGGAGATTTTTACGAGGTACTTCTTACCGTATCTGCAGGGAAGGGGAAGTCCCTAGAGTAAGAGCAAAGGGTATAAAAAAGGGGAAGCCACGCTTAATGGATCAGTCGCTCACTCATCTCACTGAGCGCACAGCTAAGATGATGGTCACTTGTCTGCTCCTCTCCAGCGCCTGGACCGTTGCATCAGGTAAGTCCTTTGTCAGTCTGTCCGTATCGTTATCATAATGGTGCTGGGGACCTTGGTGGCCATGCCAGCCTGCTGCTGTGTGGCTCGGCACTGCAGTGTGCCCTCTGCCACCCGCCCGGGGCCATCCTGGTGGTGACAGGGCACTTGTGCCACTGCATGTGACCGCACCGCTGGCATGGAATTCCAGCCATGTCCCTGCCGGCCGTGTTGGCAGCATCCTTTCCTTAACACACCACCCGTGCGTTTACAAGCTGCAAACAGGTGTACAAAGTATTTACAATTTGAAAATCATAAACCAGACAAATGCTCCCAGAGACGCGTGTGAGTGAAGTTTGATTTCACCTCCTGTTGTGGTTGTGGTTTGAATCAGAGCATGGCACTGATTTGCTTTAGCCAGGACAGAATTTTCTGTAGCGATGGACGCGGCGCTTCTAGGTGTCTGCTCGCACCACTATAAGTGTGAATACGTTACATTTGCTTTTGTAATTAAAAATCATGTAGAAAAGCCTGGATTTGCTTCAAAATACCTTCCATGGTCACAGTTTGTATTCTGCCTATGGCACTGCTGAGCTCTGAAAAGCAAAACGACTGGCACAGCTTCACAAAAAGCTGGTTGCTTGGTCTCCAGCAGAGATCTGCCTGGCCATGGCCACAGCCACAGAGGCAGCAGGACGCAAGCGAGCTACGTTGGGTGGGTTAGACAAGTGTACCTCTGGGCACTGTCGACAGCCTCACTCTTCTTTAAAACCTGCAGAGATATTTCCCTTGCTTGTAAATCGAATTGTATGTTTTCAGTGCTGTTAAGTGTGCCTGCTGATATCTCCTTTCCCATGCTGATATACACAGACTTTAAATCTATTATCCTAAGAGGACTGTGGCACAAAGATGTCAAACCTGCTACCATCCATTTTGCTCACCTGTCCCCTTAGTTTTTTCACATGTCTGTGAATTGGAAGAGGAGACTGATACTTTTTTTATTCTTTTCCCTGGAGACCTTTAATACCATGGCGTTTATGCTATGAAAGTTTTCCATCTGTGGGCCTTCGGCAAGGTCTCAGCTGCATCCCAGCTGTGTGGCCTGAAGCATGAGACAGAAGGATGGATGCAGTTTGTCTCCAGTCCTCCCTCCCTTGCTTTTTAATTCTTGTTTTCTGGTCTCTTGTCAGTCTCTGGCTGATGCACGATGTATAGTGCTACACATAGTAATTTTTAGCAGCGTTACTGATATGCTTCTCTCTGTGCTGCAGGAGGGCTCAGGGAGCAGGAACACACCAGTGGCTGTTTGGGAATTAGCACGGCTGAATGTGGAGGGAACATCCCCACAGGTGCCTGTGGGATAACAGTCTTAGCAGACAGAAATCAGTCGCTTCGACACCGGAGCTGCCTTTCTCAGTGGCTCGCTCTGCGGTGCAGGTGCCAGGCTGGTGAGATACCTTGTGTGAGAGGTGTCAGGTCCACTGACACTCTCAGGGCAATTCTTTCGAGTTGTGTTTTCATTTTCTCCCTGGACGGAGGGGCAGAGAGACCCTCCAGAGCCACTCTGCCCAGGAATGAGGGCGAGGGGCTGGAGGGGCCTTTGCCGTGGGTGGGTTGCAGAAGGGTGGTGAGAAATATTGAGTGCATCACCTGCTTCTCCTCCAGGCTTTGTGCAGGTAATGAACAGCAAGGTCCAGTCTGTCCAGGCAGGAGGAAACGTTAATTTTTCATGCCAGTTGGTCACAAAAGAAGATGTGCTACAGGTGACCTGGCAGAAAGAGACGGACGGGGCTGAAGACAACATAGCGACTTACAGTACAATGAATGGCCAAAAGATAGCAAAGGACTATGTCGGCCACGTGAGCTTTGCCCACAGTGAGTTAGAAGTCTCAGCCATCTCCCTCCATGGAGTTACCCTCCAAGATGAAGGGTGCTACAAGTGCATCTTCAACACGTTTCCCTCGGGGGCTGTCAGTGGCAGGATGTGTCTCAAGGTTTACGGTAAGACACTGTAATTGCGTATGGGCTGTCATCTGAGGACCAAATTGTTTTCCCTGGGAAAAACCTTCCCTGATCACTGGTCATTGCTAAATCGCTCTGGGAAAGGTGGCTCAGCTTCCTTGCTGGTTCTCCCTCCCTCTCTGGTTTTAATTCTGATGGGAAACCAACATTCAACAGTTCTTTAATTTTCTTTCCCTTTAAGTCAACAACATCCAAAAGCTGACGTGTAACCCATGACTTCCTCCAAGTTTCCCTGGCCGTGTGCTTTTCTGACAGCTGGCCTGCCGCAACCATGAACCCCCTGCTCCTCTGCTTCCTTTCGCTGCTGCTCTCACCTCCCAAACCTGGAAATCAGGCACTTTGTTTCTTACTCTGCCTTTGGTCTTAAAAAACTTCAAAGTATTCAAAAGGCAGAGAGACATATGTGTGACCAGAGCATCTGGAAGCTGATTTTGAAGCTGTGGTATAAATGTCAGTAGTTAGGCTGGGCTCAGGAGAGGGATGTGGAAAAAAAGGCTGAAATACAGCGCAGCTCATGGGCTTTGCCACAAGAATATCTTGTGTAGGTCAGCATCAATTAGCTTGAAGAGGAGAGTTAAATCATGAGCCAAGGTGGCAACACTTCACGTCTCCATATGAAATAGTCAGCTAGCAAGTACAAGCTGAAATATAGACAAATAGATGAGCTCAAAAGGAATAAGAATGAAAAGCTGTTTATCTTTTGTGGGAGAGTCTTGGTTTTCTGGCAGGGAGAAATCTGAGATATTAAACATGCCCTGAGGACACCCTTCTAGCTCCTGACTTTCTCATCCTTGACTGCTGTGAGGATGTTGGCCAAAGATCGTGTCTCTCAGTGTCCGGGACCTGCTGCCAGTGGAATGACCCCTGCTCAGTCTTTTGTTTATCCCCAGTACTTTCTGCTGACAAAGACACAGACACATGCCCACACACATACCCACGTGTCAGGAGTCCTTTGCGGGGGAAAAAAAAGACACTCCTGACTTATAGGGGAAAGATGGCAAGCAGTAGGGGAAAGGTAGTGAGGGAAATACGAGGGAAAACCAAACCTGGAACAAAAGTTCTTTTTCCTCTCTCTTGGGAAAGCTCCTAGAGCAGAAAAGAGAAATTAGGAGAAATTCACTCAGTATTTCAGATATGAAGAGGAAGGTTTTTCCAAAGACACCCTGCCCTGAGTCATTCAGAGCATAAACACTGATTTATACATTACAGGAAAATATGGAAGGGTCTTGCAGATGGATTTCTTTCTCATTTATCCTGTAAATCTGAACATGGAGTTCAATTTGTTTTGGTTTGTTGCTTTGTTTGTTTTTTTAATCCACGAAGCGGAAATATTTCCCAAAATCACCAACCTTGTGGCTGTGATTCATCCTTCAGCAGAGCTCTACTTCAAAAAACAAAATGTTTTTCTGTTGCTACACACACTCCCGCGAGCACCTCTCCCTGCTTCTCAGATGAAACCCTATCAACTGGGAAGGATTTCACTTCTGTCCTAGGCAGGCATGAGCCCACTGCTCCTGCTGCATGTCATGGTGGCCTCCCTGAAACGTGCTTTATTGAACACGTCCTGAAGAGCCACCATAGAATCATAGAATCGTCTGGTTGGAAGAGACCTTCAAGATCATCGAGTTCAACCATTCACCCTGCACTGTCAGGGTCCCTAAACCATATTGCTAAACATCAAATCTACGCAATTTTTAAACACCTCCAGGGATGGGGACTCCACCACCTCCCTGGGCAGCCTGTTCCAATACTTCACAACCCTCTCTGTAAAGAAATTTTTCCTGATATCTAACCTAAATTTCCCCTGGTGCAACTTGAGGCCATTCCCTCTCGTCCTGTCATTCATAACATGGGAGAAGAGACTGACCCCCATCTCCCTACAACTTCCTAAGGTGGATAAACCAAGTGTTTGGCACTGTGACAGAAGATTTTGGTCCATGTATGGCATATTTCATTGAAGTTAATTTATGTGATGCTACTTAAAAGCCACAGTCTTACTCCCTTGTTCCTCAACTCATAATGATGGGAACAATTTGTCTGAAGAAGCCCAGAAGACTCCCCGTGCCGGAGTGTGAAGACAGCCAGGAATCTCCCAAGGCTTAGGGATTCAGGGAAAGGGGCGCAAGCCGGAGTCACCAGCTGAAAATGAAATGCTGCCATGCCTTTGCCCTCAAGAGGGGACTGCCAGGGAGTTTTCAGGCTGGTAATTGCCCGATTACAACAGCCTTCGGAAGAGGGGCAGTTCCAGGATAGGCACCATCACCGCATGATGAGGGGAAGTGAAACTGCGTAAGAACTGGATACGACACTGAGAAAAAGAAACAGGTATGACTGGAGGAATCTCAGGCCTGCCTGGCTGAAAAGAGCAAACTCAAGAAGGAGCAGAAATTTCCCACTCTGTAGCAAAACCTATTTTGGAACAGAGCATCTGCAGGTGTGCTTGGCAAGTCGCTTTTCAACAGCCTGCTCCTCTTCCCTCTTCATTTTGCTTTGGAAATCTTTTGCCCATGATTACCAAAGAGGATGAGAATGAAACTCAGGAAGAGGATTCAGTGAACAGATACAGAGAGAGGGGGATGTGCCACACAAGCATGGCCCAGACTTGCTGGGTCACAAAATTACCCGGGCATTTGCTGGGCTGTCTTCAGAGACCTTCTGCGTTCATCATAGATGACACCATTCACCAGGAAGGCTCAAGAATGGCAGCAAAGTGCCATTACTATTTCTTAGACAGGGAAACTGAGACACGAGGTTGCTGGTGCACATCCATATGGTTGGAGGAGGCTTTCTGTCATCACAAGGCATACCATAATTCCTAAAAATTACAAACTAACAAACAGTGTAGCAGGACTTTACTGCAAAAGCAAGTACTTAAAGGTTTTGACTGTGCATCTATTACAGACACTTGCTAAGGGGAAGCTCAACTCTACAGGATTTTTTTCTCGTGGTGATCTTTCCTTGGGGCCCAATGTGGGAACAGAGAGGACTGCTGAGTCAGAGAGGATCACATGTGGAGTGCATGTGCTTCTGCCAAGATACAGAGCAATTTTTATCCCCTCTGGAAACACCTGTGACAGCTTTCCTTTACTGCTTTTGGATGTCGCAACCTAATATTTGAAGTAAATGCTGTGGGTGGATATGTTATTTTTATGCATCCCATGAGTGAAAGAAGAAGTTCAAAGATCATTTATTAATCAAAACATTATTGTTTGTGACACTTGCCTTTTCAGACACAGGAGATTTTGAGAAGTTCCAGCTGAAATCCCCCTACATGCTTTTCTTGTTGCTCTTGGAGCAACACTAGTGGGTTTCATCAACTCTGTGGAGTTTGAGTTTCTGTCTATGGGTGATGTAAAAAATGAGAAATACCTACTTCTTTTTTTTTTTTCATAGGCAGGCACAGCCATAGTAAATAAATGAGATCTAGCCCTTAAAAAAAAAAAAAAAAGGCAAAAGTGATGGTATACAATGTCTTACTTTCAAGTTGAGGCTTGGAGGATCCAGACAACCTCCTGAGGTGCATCTGGAATTGTAGCAGGTTATAGACATCATTATGCATGTGAGAGAAGCCTTTTTCTCCTTTAACAGGATCATTCGGTGTCTTCTACACCTCATTCATATGCAAATAATCTTTTACCTCCCAAAAGGAAAAAGAAACATTTTTCCTAAGCAGAAGAAATAGATTTTTTTGTTGTTGTTGTTTAAAAGTGGGATTGCTAAATGATAGTGATGTTTGCTAGTGTTGGGAAAAATATTAATTTCAGCATAAGTATTGTACTGACCGTTGTTATTTTTGCTATGGAACTAATAATATACACATGGACTACTACTAAATATGGTAATAGATACTTTTCTAATCAGAGGGCATTCGTATTAACTCAGACTTGAATGAAACTAGAACTGCCACTGCACTTAAATGGTTAAAAAAAGTAATGTTCTCAGAAACAGGGACCTAGAAGTAGAGTGTGGTTTGGATCCCTATGCCACCAGCACATGCACTGAAGTAGAAGGCAGGCTGGTGAGCTGCCACATGGAAACCTCTGGATTGAACTTCTAAATAGAGCTTTATAGATCTTGGCCTGAGCAAACTGAGCTAATGAGACTGGCTTTGGGCAGAGGGTTGGACTAGATGACTTCCAGAGATCCTTTCTGACCTAAATTATGATATGATATTATGGCTGAGGAATAAATAGGTGTTTTTCCACAGGGGATAGACATGTTCTTATGTGTTCACATCTCTCCTGGAGTTCTATCCAGGTTGAAATCAGTTTCTTGCACTCTTCCCCTTTCTTTATTCCTTATAAATACAGTTCATATAAATAGGAGTCAACAAGCAGGCTTCATGCAAGTGAGTAAGCATGAATGATGCCTACAGTTCATCCTTCTTGCTGACTAAGACTAAATGTGGCTGCAGCTGCAAATCTTCTAGGGTGAGGAGTTCAGAACAAATGATCTTTAATGAAGGCTTTGAAGGATACCACAATGCCCCCAAAACCCAACACCAGAGAGAAGAAAGTACAAGCACAAAGTCTCCACAGGTGAAATCCTGTGGTGTAACCACATACAAATTAATTATTACCATCTTGTATAAATAGATGCATTTAGTCCTTTGATCCACAAGCTTGCACTTCTCAAACAGTGATAAAGCTAATCCTGCAGATAGATTTAAGGAAAAAGAACAAGAATTTTGACTCATTGGTGCAGTTCAGCCCTTTCAGAGAGAGGAGGACACAGTTTCACTACCTGTTGCTTTTTACTCATCCATAATCAATCACCACTTCTCAGCTGGGATGCTGCACTGCTGCTGTTAATAACAGAATTGAATGCTTCTATCCTCTTGTCCTTTATTTTGGCCAAGCTCTTCATTTCCAGACTGCTACCTGATCACTTTCGTGTTTATTTGTCACTGTCAGGACATTGTGGAAGGAGAGACAAAATTAAATACCAAAGTTGTCCTCCAAGATAACGGTAAACACAGATGCTCTTTGCTCAAGTGTGAGCAGAAAGTAACGGATTTTGTCACTTTGTGTTTACAGCCATCTTGAACCCCAAAGTGGAGGCTAAGCTTATACCCAGCCCAGGCAAAGCTGAGGACTCTGAGAAAGTGGTAGGGATGAGTTGCTCAGCAACAGGGAAGCCAGCTCCAAAAATCACCTGGCGCCTTCCCAGCATCCTGCAGTGGAAACCGAGGGAGTACCACGTCAGGCTCAGCAATCAGACCGTGACTGTCATCAGCAATTTCACCCACGCCCACTCCAAAATCCTCCAGGAGTACCCTATCGCCTGTCTGATCCAACACCCATCTCTAAACCTGACCCTGGTCCTGCCCACGGACAGCCTGGCACAGGGTCAGTATGCAGCCCTACTCCTGGCCTGGAGTGGGGAGGAGACGGTGAAATGTCTCCTGGGGTAGATGCGAGAAGGCACCAGGAAGAGCATCCTGGACTGGGGGAGGGACAGAGGAGGTGCTGAGGATCAGCCAAACACCCTGGGCAATGGCGTACAACGTCTTACTGCCCATCGGGTCCCCTACACACTGTGGTGTGCCCCTGCCTCTGCTGAGGACTTGCGGGGTTTCCCTGTCACCTAGCCTGACACACCAGCAGGATGTGTCGACTTTGGGCAACTCAGAGGGGCTGGGTGCCGCACACCCACCTGAGCCGTCGGACCCCAAGGACAGGACCGCTGGCGATGCCACTTGTGCGCATGCCGGCATGTGCTCCCGGCACCCCCATCCACCCCGTTTCACCCTGGGAACCGGCCAACTGGTGTCTGAAAGAAGGGGTTTGGGGTTGGTTTTATTTTTCACCATCGTGCACGAACTGAGTACCTGCTGCTTTCCCCACAGGTCCGGACAGCAGGGCAGCACCGGCCATTGCCATTGCGGTGGGGGTCCTGGTCCCCCTGATTTCCCTCCTCCTCCTCGCCTGCCTCCTCCGCCGTTGCCTCAGGAGCCTATGTGACCCAGAGAGAAACCCAGCCCAGCCATGCTGGGTAGGTCTGCTTTTCCCCAGGGTGCGAGGCTCACCCACACCGGTCATGGGGCTCAACGCCGAGACCCAGCTCTGCGCAGCCACTCCAGGGCTGGCTGCACCGGGGGCAGGGAGGGACGAAGGGATCAGCTTCCTGGACAGCTGGGTAGCAGCATGCTGGGAAGGGGAAACCTGAACATGCTTAGCCGGAGCCCACAGGCACCCGACAGCGCTGACAGCTCAAAAACATTCACTTTCTCAGTGATGAGGCACGATGAGAGGGAAGTGACGCTGTGTTACTATATTTATACACAAAATAGTTGTGCAAGTGGTGGCCATATCCTTGCACTGTTCTTCTGCATCTTTTAAAATAACCTCCTTCCAGCATGGCCAGTGCAGCTTGTGGAGGAGGCAGCTTCAAGATGCGTCTCAAACAAGATGGGGTCTTAAGAGGAAAAGCATGCCTCTGTGAGGAAAGCCCAGGCTGCCATGCTGGTTGTCCACCAAGGCTGTCCTCATGCAGTGGGTGAAGGATGCAAGCTCAAGGTGGGGGCAAACAGAGTGAGGTAGCATCGTTTCGGAAAATCGCAGCCCAGTTTTGTGCTGAAGGCACCTCAGCTTCCTTGCAGGACATGCCTAGAGCGTGCAGCCTGACTTTTGAAGAGTGCTTTGCAGAAAAAGAAGCAGTGGGAAGAAATGTGATATATGTCTTCCATGGGCACCATGCCTTTAGGTCCAAGCTGGAGCCTACTGGGGGGTTGCAAGGGGAAAACTTCAGTCTCTCTTCACACAGAGACACGCAAGGACCCATTTGGCAAAACGAATAGCCCAGATCTTTATCCTTGCACTTAAAACATCCATATATTTTGAAGAAGGAAAAAAATCCAACAACCTCTCTTCTGTTAGGTCCTGCCTGCCTGTACCAAGGCCAAGAAGTGCGGGCAGTACGGAGCTGCGGGCAGGTGGGATCCTGGAGTGTCCCCTCAGCCACAGCACATTGCTCAGCACCCAAGCAGCTGCCCATCCTACACGTGCGAGAGAGAAACTTCTCACAACGGCACCTTGAGCTTCCAAACAAACCTGCTGTGACTCACTCCAACAGAAACACAAAAAAAGGACGATTTATAATAGATATTTATTTATTCTGTTACACTATAATATTTTGTTTTGTAGAAAAAAAAAAAGCTGTGAAGTATTTATTTGAGACTCAGGCTGGCTCCATGGATCTGCGCAATGAAAGCCACGTTTTGTATTTTCTGGGGTTTTGAACATTATGTTTATTTCTTTCTGATATTTTAACATTGCAAGCTCAAAACTGGGGATTGCCTGAAACAGGCCAGCATTTTTTAGGGGTGCTGGCCTGGGAGGCGTTGCCGATGGGCCAAAGGAGATCCCTGCCAGGAGCTTGGGTGCAGAAGACCCGTGGAGCAGTCTAGTGCACCGCTGTGAGCTTTGGGCATTTGAACTCATTCCCCAAAGGGCACAAAAGATCAGGCCAAGACTATGGCTGGCCCAAACTTGTAACTCAGACACAACAGATGTCAAGCCAGGAGTCATCAGGGATGAGGAAGTTGCCAACTCTGACTTCTACCAGCCTTTCCTAGAAAGTAAAGTAAAAGCAAAGAGTCTGCAGAGCTTTCCATCTCCCCTCATCTTCTTCTTCGGTTTCCACAGCCCCCTTCTTAATTCCCCTAATCTATCACAGATGCTTTGTGTTTCCAGACAACCCACCTGCCTGCAGGAGGAAGCAGGGAAATAAAAGCCCAGTTGGAGGGATAGTATGTTGCCCTGGGGTGGGTTGTGTATATTTGGTGTGGTGGCAGGTGAGTGCAGTGGGAAACAGGAGGCTGGTGGCAGGCAGGACAAGGGGGTGGGTGCTGCAAGTGAGCAGGGATACACCAGCTCAGGACAAGTGAATTTCAGTATTGGTGAAATTCATCGCTTATAGCCAGTAGGTCAGATCTGAACAGTTCTCCTGAAGTCTCTGAATTCCACCCTGTGCTCATTAAACCTTTCCCTGCATGCTCAGGGAAGCAGAAATGAGCCCCCCTGGCTGACGTGGTCTTGTGGGCAGCATGCAGATGGCTGGTGTAGGCTGCCTCCTCTCCTCCCAGCTTCCTGGAGCAGGTGCATGTCATCTGTTTTTTCCTTGTCCATCTACTACAAATGCGCATCCTGGATAATCAGGCTGAGCTGTAGCTGGAAGGCCAAGTAACATAAAATGAAAGTAAGTGGGTGAGTTGAGAATGAATAAACCCAGTCTTTGTTATAGAATGCTTTTTTTAGGCTGTCTAACCATTAGTAATAGTGCAGCTGTTGAATGTGGAGAAAAGGGAACTGGTTGCAACTGTCACAATCAGGAATTTTTCTCCTGAGCCCCATAATTGTCAAAGGAGGAAGCAGTGTATTTGTAGAAGCTTTCCTGCCACAGCAGCTTAATTCCTCCTCCTCTGTGGGAGGAAGAGGTCAGGGGAGAAGCAGGTGTTCCCCTGGGTTGGTGGTTCATGGGGGGCAGGATGGGGGCAAGAGGGGCAGGGCTCAGCCCCTGGCACTCCTCCTGAGCAGGCTGCCTGGTGTCAGCCCTTGCCACTCAGCAGGATCCGTGCTTGCTCTTCAGGGGTTTTTTGGAGAGGTCTTTTTTTAGTTTTAAAAGAAAGTTTCCACTGATGTTTAGCCTAATGGCTTTTTTAAAAAAAAAAAAAACAACACAGAGAAATGAGTCTCTCGCAGAAAAAGGGAGTCTGGATATGGGTAATGAAAACGATTTTCAGAGAGAAGAGAAAAAGGCATAAAGCTGGTGAGAAACCTGTATAAGCCCAGGAAGATGGCAGAGATTATCTATTACTATTTTCTACATGCTGATCACCTGGAGTGGAGGAAAGCAGGGTTTGGAGTCATGGAATTATCTGTTTACATGCAGGATTGTGGTTTCTTTTACTATTTAGCTGAATGTTGAATTGTAAAAAGCTTTTGTAGATTTCCGCTTACGAGGGTGATAGGACTAGAGACCAAGCGAAAGAGGAGGATGTGGTAGCTTACAAGCAAAATGTTGTACCAGAAAGGCTATTATTGATCTATTCGTCTTTCGCAGTATCTGAGAGGAGCAAATGACATCCAAAGGCAGAACACTTAAAACCAACACGTGTATTTGCCTTCATGCCATGTACTAAGCCAGCTGCTAAAATGCAGTGCCATAAAATGCTATATGCTAGTGCTGTGGAGTTGGGCTTCACGTAGCAGTGGAACGAATGTGAGCATACAGACTATGTATAGTTAACTGGCTGTTAGCTGGGGAAAAAAGAGTACAAAATAGATACAAGCCACCTTTCAGGGAACAAGCAAGCTCGTGACTGAGGGGGTCAGAAGTTTTTACTGTGGGTGAGTAACATCCTAACTGCTGGTCTGAGGTTTCTTTGTGTTTGTCTTGTGCTTGTCTGTCCAGTTATCTCTGTTAACAATTTGGTAGTGATTCTTTGGAGGTTATCTTTCAGATTGGGTTTCTATGGATACCTAGCATCTGTTTTAATAAATAGTATTCAGGCTATGAAATGTCGCAAATTTTGAATAGGTCTTGAGAAGTAAAAGTACAACAGGTAAAAAATTAAAGTGGAATGGAGTGCTCTATTTTGCTGCTCCAATATGAGTGATACAAAGCAGGTTAACTTTGTAAGTAAATGGAAGCAGAGCATATTTTCAAAGTTTACCCTACAGGAATGTTCTGAGCTACTATTGCCACCACAAAAAAAAACAAAAAAAACACACAAAAAAAAACACCCCCCAAAAAACAAAACAAAACCCCAACAACAACCAAAACAACCACAACAAACCGCAAAAAGCCTAGTTTTCTGCCTATCTCGTGCCTGGGCAGTTGTTGATCTGCCTTCAGCCACCCCCTGTCATTGCAAATTGTCTAGCCCAGGGCAACAGTGGTATTGATGCAAAGAATCATTTTT